GCAAGTTGATAGTAGTAGCTACTTCTCACTTCAACAGTGCTACATCCAGTGTCCTTGTTTTAGGTTCATGAAGATGTATATCTGGGTAAGTATAATGGCTTGTTTAGAGAAAATGTTAAAATCAATACAGGGGACTAAATTTATTAGAAAGAGCTATTCAGATAGCTGTGTTGTGATCTCAAAGGCCAATATGCTAGTTCTCCAGGGCTTTCTTATAAAAGGAACACAATCTTTATCCCAACCATTTACCCAATCAAATGAGCCTTAAGCAGATTCCTTCTTTTCACAAACACTGTCCTGTTCAGAATTTTGAGGCCCTGGAAAGCTGTTGCTCAGCCTCATTTGAACTAAACCTTTACCAGCAGCAGGCTGACCATGGCTTTGTCCCTTCAACACTGTGTGGTCTTCCCAGAGCACACTAAAGGATAGTGAACAGATGACCCAATGAGTGATCTATGTTCCTGAGATTGGCTTAGATTAAAGGTGATTTTACATTCTTTGGTATCTTCCCATTGAGAGAGTTTTCTCCTCTCCTTTAGTCTGGGCTGGTCTTCATGACTGCTTGACTGATAGAATACAGTACAAGTGACATTCTGGGACTTCCCAGGCTAGGTCATTAGAAGTTCTGCATCTTCTCCTGAGCCCCTTGGAGGCTTTGCTCTTGGAACCATTAGCTGCCACGTAGGAAGTCCAACCATGTGGAAAGGCCCTAATACAATATGAAGAATCGGAAGGGCGCAGTTGAGCAAAGCCTTCTTGCTGTGCCTACAAAGGTGCCAGATGTGTGAGTGAGGCCCTTTGGGACCTTCTAACCTGTCCATCTAGCTGAGTAACACCAAATGATCTCGACTGATATCAGATGGAATAAATGAATTGACCACTGGTCCCTTCCCATATTTCTGATCCATGTGGTCATGAGCAATAAACAATATGGTGGTAGTTTTAAGCCACTAAGTCTGGGGTGCTTTGTTACATATCGATAGACAACTGAAATACAAACACTGCTAGATCCTGTGACTCAGGCTCAGAGGCCGAACCAACCACCAATGAACCCTTTTGGCAAGGGCTCAACTCTGGGGTTTGAAAGACAAAAACACCTGAGGGGCACAGATGAGACAAAGGGAAGTGTCTTTCAATAGGCCATCTGTCCTAGATGATGTTTTCAAATGAAGCTGAAAACTTCCCTTTGTGAACACTGACCGAATGCCCCGCGGAGCACCACTCAGCTCGGTGGATGCCAGGAACACTAATGAACTGTCCTTTAGTGCAACAGGGAAGCTACTGCCTTGTTTATGTCATCTCCTTGGTGATGTAACCAGCACGCTCTACATTGTTAAGGTGACAGTTTGGCATAAGGACATGTGAATTCAAATGATAAGATGCAAACTAAAAGAGAGATGACTACTTCTGAGAGCTGTGGGGTTAATTTTTTTGGCTGTTCTTAGAATGGAAAATGATTGTGAATTTGGGGGGAAAATACCAAAGCAATCTGTTTTCTTGGCTGCGTGCTGTGGAACAATTTTAAAGCACTGAAGTGCTTTCCATATTTCCTAATCACTCAAGTCCAGAGCTGATGATGGCTCTCAGCGTTCTCTCCGGTTCACACCATTGGAGCACTCCACGTCTTTCAGGGAGAGCTTTCACCTTGACATCAGGCACCCGGATCCAGAAGGCACATATTGATACAGCAGGAGCACACACTTTAATTGCAGTGCAGCCCTGCAACGGCCAGGTGTTCCAGAAAATCACTGGTGGCCCAACTCTGAGACAACCCAGATTCACTTTCTCTCATCTCACAGAAATAAAATGACCTCTCTTACTAAACAGAAATAACAAAAAAAAGGTCCTATCAGAAACTGAACTACCTCGAACAAAAAACAGAGAACTTTAGATTGAGACCTGTGAGCAAGGTCTCTCACACACACACAGACACATACAGACACACACACAGAGTTGTATGTGCATAGAACATCTCTTCAAGGAGCCCCAGGAAATTGGTAGCTGTGTTTTTTTCTGGGGAGAGCCGAAGGACTGAAGAAAATTGGGAGGTTGATGAATTATAAAACTTATTTTTTCACCATAGCCTTTTGAATATTTTGAATTAAAAAATCATATGTGGCATTTTTTTTTCAAAATAACGGAACAGAATAGCTCTAAACCTGTGTATGGTACTTATGGTCTGCTAGACATTGTGTTAAATGCTTTGTATATTGCACTTATTTCAAAAAATTTTATTGGTTATGAAATTACAGTTTCTTCCCTGGCCCCCCTCCTTCCAGTCCCCACCTTCCCACAGTCAATCCCCAAACTGTTGTTCATGCCCGTGTGTGATGTGTATATCTTCTTTGTCTAATCCCTTTACCTTGTTTCAACCAGTTCCACCCTCCCCATATTTCACTTCTTAAATACTTATAACAACCTTGTGATGTAGACATAATTCTATATCACCCTGACTTTACAGATGAAGAAATTGAGGTACAAAAAGCTTAAGTAACTTGGTCAAGGTCACACAGCTAGTAAATGCAGAGCTGGGATCTGAAGCCAGAAAGCCTAGCTTTGGGGCCTGTTGTCTTAATTACTATATAATACCACATTGTTAAAAATAAATATACTCAGTTGTCTGTTCATAATCGAGTTGGAGCAGCTAAAATAGTTCTTTTCTTTTCGCCCATGGCCTTTCACAAAGATGGGGTTAAAAAGATAGTGGCTCAAAGTAACCAAGATACAATCTTAAACCCATGGGGCTTTAGAGGGATTTGAAATTGAGTCAATATCAGGTCAAAAGCATGAATTTGGCCAAGTCGTTTAATCTTTCTAAGATTTAGCAGCTATTATATGCCAGGTACTCTGCTAGACCTTTGGGACAACTAATAAATAAACAGAGTCCCTGCTCTTGAGAAACTTACTGTTTCCTGGGGGAGACAGGCAGTAAACAAATAATCACACAAATTGTAATGTGAGCAATGAAGAAAAATTAAAGGGTGCATTGACAGACGAGGATTGAGGCCCCGATTGATAGTGGATGCTTGGGAAGTGTGCTTTAGACAGAGTGCTGTAGAATGGGTGGGGCAAAGCAGGAAAAACAGAAGAGGTGGGGGAAAGAGAAGTATTGTGGGTGGTTTATGCAAAGACCCTGAGGCAGGGAAGAAGCACCCGTTTCAGGACAAGAAGGCCTGTGTGGCTAAAGCAAAGTGAGTCAAATTGAGTTTGGAGAAACAGGCAGATAATTGATGATGGCAAATTTTTCACAACTTTCCTAAAAGCTGTGGGAAGCCACTATAGGTTACAAGCAGCAGTGACACGATTTGATGTATGTTTTAAGAAGACTACTTGGGCTACTGTGTGGAAAATGTACAAAGAAGAAGGCAGTGGAGAATGTGGAAGACCAGCTAGGAAGCTATTGCAGAAACCCAGGTAAGCCCTGAGGATGGCTTGGACTAAAGTGCTGGCCGAGAGAGCAGTAGATAAATGTGATATGTTTTGGTGGTATAATATTTTATGCAATTAGAACAACGTTATCTATGACGTGTTACTATGAAGCATAAGTTTATAGGTGTGAAAATGCTTTGTCAACTGTGAAGTGCTAAATAGAGGTAATTGACTATTATTATGGATGAAGAAACCAAGTACTTGTTAGAGAGACTGTAACTTGCCCAAAGTCACATAATGGCTCAGTGGCTGAGAGGAAGTTGACCTGTGATCCTTTCACTCCCTTCTCTGGGGATGCTTCTGGAAGAAGGAAGACAAGGCTAGTGACCAGATCTAATTTGCTTGTCAAGTGGGCCTCTGGGTAAATAGACTAATAATATTTAGGATGTGTCTGACTACTAGTAAATAGAAGTCAGGGTCTACGAAGCAGGGCTCCTTGGAGAACATTGCGTCAGCTATACAACTCTCCGGTGTACAAAACAGCAATTTTTCATCATTGAAAAACTCCCCAATGAGAGGTGACCCTTGACCCTCCCCTTTTATTATGGGGGAGTGCTGTGTGTCAATGAGGGCAGCCAGGGCCTGGGGAGCCATTCTTGAGGTCCCAGAGTTTTCTTTACTTCATCTGAATCTCTGGATTGCCTGTGCCTTTGACAGTATTTAGCAAAGCTTTGTATTGGGTATGAACTCTGGTTCAGGTGACATGATCTGACACTCTCATCCCACGTGTTTATTCAGGGGTAGAGACCTCTTTCCTAGGCTATTAGTCCCCGTGTAATATCAGGCCCAATTATAAGGTCCACAGATGAAGGGAGAACAGACTTGGTGATATGCGAACCCCTTCTGATATTTATTTGACACATCAGATATCTACCTACCTAAAAAATTATCTTTTAGGATAGCTATGCAGTTTAAGGAACTTGATGTATCTCTCTTCATTGTGAATGTGTAAAACTTGGAAGAACTTAAAGATTCTTTGCGATGGCTCGTGTCATTTCCCGAAAAGGTGAAATCAGGCCTTTTGGGGCTCCAGCGACTGTTCCTAAGGACTTACTTTAAAGAGAGCTCTTTAGATGCTTAGAAGCTCATGTCCCTCCCTCCCATTGCCAAAGAATTGTACAATATCAATGTTCAGCAGTGAACATCGTTCCTAAAACTACTCTCAGCCCTCCTAAGGCATGAGTTCTCTTCTCTCTCTTTTAAAGATGCACAATTTATCTTAGTATATAATTTTATTTCAGGACTTAGGAGGGATGATGAAAAAGAACTGTCACTCTAGCTGAAGGGAGAGAAGCCTTTTTGTCTTCTCTGTCTCATAATAAACTGTATTTACACTGGAGGAATCAAAAGACAGAACCAAAAGACACATGAATGTAATATTCTACTGGTACAGAAGTCTCCGATTGTGAACTAAGCTGTTGAAGAGAAAGCACAGGGCTTCCTCTGGAAGATGCCAAATGCAAGGACACTAGCAGGCTTGTGTGATGGAAGTGTAAACATGTTTTATGAAGAGAAATATGCCCTTTTCCCCTTCCCCCAAACAAACTCACAAACTAAAGCCTGACTTTTACCTTCAGCAAGTGGGTCAAGGGTGTGTATCATGAGCTGGAAGATGCTGTTCCTCATGAGACTGTTGTGGAGGGAGGCAGAGCTTCCACCTCGCTGGAGACGTGGCTTCGTCTGAGCAGAGAAATCAGACAGGGATGCTGTTAGTTCTCGGAAACTGATGGCAAATGCATTGCAGATAAGGTCCTCACCTTGTCTGGTGATCACTTGTTTCTGTCACATGGTCACACACTAAAGACCAAAGATTTTCAAAGTACATTTCAAATTCCCCAAAGGAATGACTTTCTCACATCCTTTCCTACTAAATAAATTGCTACCATTTTTTTAGAGCTTAGTAAATGCTAGTTGATGTGCTAAATGCTTTACCTCCATTAGTTTATCTCATTCTCAAAATGAACCCAAAGAACTAGATACTGTTATTTTTGTCTTTAGACAAAGTTCAGAGAAATGAAATGAGGTGTCCAATTCACATGGACAAAAAATGGAGGATAGAGGAATGGATCTCAAGTTTGCTTCTCTCAAAATTTATCCGAACCGGTGGGCAGTTTCTAAAATGTTTGGACTGTGCACCCAATCAGTAAATATGTATATATATATGTATGTATGTATGTATGCATCCATACTTATATCTATATCTGTAGCTATAGCTATATTTATCTATATCTATACCTATCTATATCTACACTCATACTAAAATATGAGCATATATATTAGAAAACATTTGAAAATTGGAAATGATGAAGAATAAAATAGAAAGGAAATGACAGGGGTGTTAATTTTTCTCCTTGCTCCCCAAAGGAACACCCTGCACATATCCTGGGACTCCTCGTCTCTCCCCTGGACCACAGCTTTAATCCATGAATCTCTAGGGTCTGTGTTAAGTGTGGTTTTAAAGAGACAGAACCACTTATAGTGAATCTACAAAGCAGATTCCTAACTTTAAGGGAGAGGGGTTTCTTTTGCATGGACTCCTACCAGAGTGATCCTTTGGGCAAACAAATGAAATTGACTGGTAAGAGAGGAAGAATGAACCTCTAGAGGTGAGGTTACCAACGAACTCTTTTTCTTAATCTTTAAAAACAAACCATCTAAAGAAAACACCAAAACATCTGCACTGTCAGATTTTTATCCTGTATAAGAATGGTTTTCTCTCCCTTTGTCTGGTTTCGTGTTGGTTATCCCAGGGGAAGACACTCCGGAGGCCACACTCTACAGATGGGTAATGTAATGTGAGCAAAATTAACTTCTTAGTGAACTTTTGGTCCAAAATCTTGACATGATATTTTTCTGGGGCCAGGTTTCCTGCTGCCTTCCTACACTCTACAATGCAGGGTTTTCCAGAATAGTCCATCATACTTCAGATCCTCAAGGTGTTTCCCAAGAAAAGTCCCATTAGGGACTCCACAATCAAATACCTTGGACAGTGCTACACCCGAGACCAAGCTACCTTTAGAGTATTAAGATACACATTACACCACTAAATTTAAAAAGAATCAGGTTAACTTGGTGAACGTGGACAGTGTTTCTGAACCATTGCCCACGGATTCTTACTCTGAAGAATACTTACTAACTAACGATCATGGTCTGTATGTTTGGAGACAAATATGAAACCTATAGTAACCTTGAGGCATGTGTAAAATGTCAGCATGAAGTACACGGAAATATCTGGATTTCTTATTGTGATTTTATTATAATTGATGTCCTACTAGAAATTATGTTCCCAATTCTACATGGTTTGCAGAAGAATCAGAGGGGATTACTGGTGTCTCAGTGGTGAGCCAGACCATGAGCTCCTCTAGGGGAAAGACTGGGTCTCTCCCTCCCCCGCACACCCAATATTGGACCTGGCATAGCCTATCGGTGCTCACTGAAGGCCATAAATCTTTGCTTTGAGCACTAGAGGAGGGAGGAGGGGGCCATTTGTATCTTTATTCCTGGTCCTTTCTGCCTTAAAAATCTGTAACATTTCAAAATAAATTCTGTTATTTGATTCAGATGTTTAATATTCAAAATATTTTAGGGGCAAGGGTAAGAGAAATGAATAGATTTGAAATGTAATCACTATTTGATGGCTGAACACAAAAACTCTGAAGGTCATTTATTTGTCATGTTCCCCAATACAAAATGTGATGTGTTAATTGTATAGGAACTGAAACATGTGCTTGTTGTTAATAATTGGGCGTGACCACGAGGACTACGGTTCTTACTGGGATAAACTGGAAGAACTGTGCTTTGGAGATCTTTATTAGCAGGGGATTATATCTATAAAAAAAGGTAAAACATTCTTTTGGGTATTAAATATACATTGAATATACAGGTCTCATGCAGCATTTCTTCTTATGGAACCAAAAGAAATTTACAACCAAAAATTAGGTGCATGCACATATACAGAGAAAACAGGTATCAAGCATTAGACGCCCTCCTCTCCCTGCCCCACCCAGCCACTGTTCCCAAATATCAGCTCAGCGTCCCTTGGCATGCAATTTGGGACTACTTCACTATCTCAACTCCTAAAAAAGTTTATACCAAATGAGACAGAACTCCAACTTTTTGGAACCTAGTCCCCCAGATAACGTGTCAGTGAAGGTCAGAGTTCAGTTGACCCTAATTACGGGCCAAAGCCTACACACATCAGCAGCAGATTAACCCACTTAAGTATTCCAGGGGAAAGGGTTATTCGTTAAGTGCATGAGCCCCTCGTCCTCCCACCTCTCCCCCCACCCTGCACTCTCCACAGGCACACGAACAGGTACAGACAGGGCCACTGCTTCCTACCGGCACTGTCGGTTCATCCTTGTCCCTGGTTGTAGATGACTGCGGGAGAGAAAAAAGCAAAAACAAAGACAAATAAATAAATAAACAACGAATCACATATAGGTTTTACATTTAATAACAATCATCAATATAGGGAAGTACTTGGTTCTTTCTGCTCCTGGGAAGGATTATGTCAACACAGGGGGCCGAGAGTGTGTATTTCTCGCTACTATTTAATGGTTTGTTTAGGCACATGGTATATTCTCCTGAAAAATCAAAGTTGAATGGGCAGCCCAAATGTCCAGCAATAGAAGGCAGTTAGATCATTTAAGGCCCCAGCCATGCAGGGGAATACCACATGGTCTTTAAAATGAATGAAGTGAGTATACATGTATTGACATGGAAAAAATATCTAAGACATTGTTAAGTAAAAAAAAAAAAATTAAACCTTATTTATTACCCCATTTGATTAAAAAAATAATACTTTAGTATATGTAAAAAAAAAAACTCTGCAAGAATTATACCAAACTGTTATTAGTGGTTATTGCTGGGAGGGTTACAAGAAAATGTCACTTCCCCCGTCTTTTGAAGGGAGTCAACATTCACTGCCCCACGTGAGGTCAATAAAAATAAAGCCTGAAGAAGTAAGGTCACTGAATTAGACTAGGATCATGACACATGGAATTCAGATAACCCACCTTCTTTCCTACTCCCACCACTTCAAGTTTTTCATGCTAAAAATGGATACATTTGTCAAGTTGAGAAAAAGTTGACTAAACGTAGGGGCATGTGAGGGCCTGTTGGGAGAGAACGCAACTCAAAGGTGGCAAAGGAGTTCTATCAACATGCCCCAACTGGGCAGCTTTGCTTCCCCAGTGTAATGTGAATACTCCCTCTTCAAAAGAACTGGGGCACTTTCCTGTGATCTTTCCAACGATGTAGAGGTAGGTAGGTGTCTTGTGAATTTCCTCATGCTCAGACTACTACTTTTGTGACTTCCTCTCAGCTATGACTGCACACAGCAAGAAAAAACTAGAACCTTTCGCCCTGGCTTGCCTTCTGGTCTTTCTCATTACAGCCTTTGCTGCTCTGCATCTTCAAGAATAACCACACACCTGGAGGCGAGCAGACAGGTGCAGAGTTCTAAAATGCTCAGCAGCCCCAGGCTGTCTTTTTTAGTCCTGCCACACATGTCATACAAAGAACATTAAGTGACCCCAACATCCCACCTAAATTATACATTTTTGTGTAAAAATTAAAATTTTTACATTATTGGCTACATGCAATTCATTGAATCCATTTATTATTATTTTTAATAACTGAAGTCCCGGCATCATGCAGGACTCCTTTTTAAAAAAAATTATTTATTTTTAGAGAGAGGGGAAGGGACCAAGAAAGAGAGGGAGAGAAACAGCAATGTGTGAGAGATACACTGATCAGTTGCCTCTCGCATACCCTCAAATGGGGACTTGGCCTGCAACCCAGGTATGTGTCCTGACTGGGAATTGAACCGGCGATCTTTCTGTTTGCAGGCCGGCGCTCAATCCACTGAGCAACACAAACCAGGGCGCAATTCATTTAATTTATGATCGACATGCTCAAAACCTTGAAAAGTGAGAAAAATGAATCCACAATTCATTTTCACATGCCGTTTTTAAGAAGAATACTTAAGTCGATATTAAGCATTTTGTAAACATTCAATTAAATATTTAATAATCTTGTAGATACCTTTTTGGATTTTAGAATCAATATCAATGTATATTTTTTTCCTTCTGGTTCCAAACATTTTTGTAGATCCTTGAAGAATTAGTAACTCTCAGGCACCTATAGAAGTATTCTGGATCGGTGGTAATTTCTGAGCATAGCTCACGGGCATTTCTAAATTTGCCATAACCTGATTTGAGGCTCTCTCTCAGTAACTTTTCTGAGTTACTAATTAAAAAAAGACCTGATTCCCTAGTTCCTAGGCACAGGTTTGGGGAACTGGAGTGGCCCTGAAATTGCCCTTTGATTTTCTTTTTTTGCTCTTAAAGGCACTGTATGATCCCATTTCTGTCTGGCAGGTCCTTTCATTTTCTCTCCCTCCACATCAGACTGCTCAACAAATGGCCCTACATTATACAGAACAATCCCCTGGGAAATTATCCAGTGAAGCCAGCTCAGCCTTTGGACATACATCGACATTAACTGTTAGAGCACGCCTTTTCAGTTAGCAAATGTACACCTGTGGCTAAATGGGAGGAAAATAATTATGAGCTGGGACTGATACCACAAAACATGAAGAAACAGGATGAAAAGGGTAGTCTTTATAAGAGCAAAATATCACCAGCTGAGACTTTGGTTTAAAAAATATAGTTAAAGAAAACATTTGAAGAAAGAAAAAAAAAAATCCAAGCCTGTATTTTGGTTTGAAAGGAAGAAAAAAAATACCTACCCCCATTGACTTCCTTTTCCTCTCACAAGCAAGGAGGATCATAAGACGCAAAGTATGAAAAGAAATACCTTGCACATAGATGCTACAGAGAAAAATCTGAGTGCAGAGAAAAGTCTTGAATCCTATACAAAACCTCCCACTGTTTAATGTGTAGGAGCTGACATTGTTAGTTTTCTTTCAAGTGTAATTTGCAGGCATGAATACACATTAGGTTACAATGTATAAATTTATGTATACACACAAATGGCACTGAGGCCAGTAAGACACCCCTCTGCTTCCCTTTTATGTAACCTTGTAGCAGAAGAGATGAAAAATGTGACATATGATAGTAATTGCTCATTTTCAGGGGCTTTCCCATGTCTACTGATAATTCCTGACATTTACCTGATTCAGCCTCACTCTAATTGCATCTTGAAAAAAGCCTCACAGTCTTGGCAATGGGCAGCTGACTATGTTAGGAATTTAATTTTAAAGAAGTTTTAATTATGTTGTAAATAACTAGTGAAGGCAACAAAGAAATGATCCACATGTGCATAACCTGTAGTGTTTTTAACCACTAGATTATTTAGCTAACTATCTGGGTTTTAAGTTGGCTTTGGTGTTGTGAATTTATTTTCAGGGCTATTGAACATTTGGCAAGTTTATTCTAACCCATCGGACGTTACAGAAGACAGCTTCTTAAAAAAAATGCAATATGATCTTAAGGATAAATCTTGGCATTCTTATTATTCATTTTGTTTTTTAATCCCCCTAATTTTACACACATCAAAACATCATACATTTGAAAGCCCAATTCCTGGTGGTCAGTTCAAAGGCTGTGCCAGATATAGGAAAGATCTGTTAAACGAAATCCATAGTAAACACAGGAATTTTAAAAAAATTTATTTACTTTTAGAGAGAGGGGAAGGGAGGGAGAAAGAGAGGAAGAGAAACATCAATGTGTGAGAGAAACATCAGCTGGTTGCCTCTCACACATGCACATATCCCAGCCAACTGGGGCCAGGCTGCGACCCAGGCATGTGCCCTGACCAGGAATCGAACTGGTGATCTTTCGCGTTGCAGGATGACACTCAACCAACTAAGCCACACCGGTCAGGGCTACACAGCCACTCTTGAGGAATATTTTTAAAAATTCATAAAATCCACCCCAAAGGGTCTCATGTTAGAGCTCTGGCGCACGAACGCAGACCCACCAGGCCAGGATGTAAGAAACACATCTTTTGCATAAAAAAGTACTGTGTAACTCAGTCCTTTATGCAATTTAATCTGGCCCCCTCTCTAATTACTGCAAGTAATTGAGTAATTGGGCAACTGGGATATTGCCACTAATAAAATATCTGTTACTCTCCCTGGAGGAAACTCCAATTCCTTATGGGAATTTTGCTATCTATTTGCTGTTTTGAAAGTGCCTTGCCCCTCATGTAATAAAACATATAGCTCATTTAGAAAGCATTTTTAACAGTATCGATCATTCACAAGTTCTTAAATCTCACTCCCTTTGACCCTTGAAGGCCACTGATTGAGAAATAACTTTCTTGACTACTAAGCATAGCTTCGACGTGAATTTGTACAGAGCCGTACCCCCACATACAGGCCTACACTTTCACATGTCACACGAAAACATTAGGCAGATGCTGTGCCATTCAGCTGCATCAGAGGCACACAGCCCCTCTTAATTGCCCAACTGCAAATCACATAATCAAATGGGTCACTGGGACAATTTCATATGCCAAAAAGCAAGTGTGTAAACTAGGGGTGGCTTTTCTGGTCAGTGGCTTGGCAACAGATATAGGAAGACAAGCAATTTGGCTCAACAGTCAAGTAACAACTATAAATGTCCACCACCACAACCTTTCACTAAATCCTGTGAAATGTGCCTAAATTCATTGTGTCAAGGACCTAGAAGTACTCTACAGTCTGTAGAAAACCAATTTAAAAGTATGATTATTTTGTCATAAATCCAAAGCATATTATGGCAGTAATTAGAAATATTAATCCAATATTTAACTGACATTAATTTTAATGTCCTAGAATTTAGAAAGGTTGAGTGAAGGACAATTCGAATGACTGATTCTCATTTCAAAAATTAACAAAGAAGTATGAAATGATGTCGCTTTTTTTCTTTCAATACGATTTACCTGTAATGAGCAAAAACATTTGCCATCTCTCTCCTGGTTAAAGATGAATAAACCTTAAAGCCCCTGGGAAGACTAGTAAAAAGTACGAAAGCCTGAAATCTGAAATGTAAAAGGAAATAAACCCTAGAACCTCTTAATCAAATGCAAAATCATCTCCTTCTCTCTCCCCTTACTGTGTCCTAACATATTCCCTAAAATATTAAGAAGAGTGAGATTAAATAAATTCCTAAAGAAAAAAAAACACTGAGATTTAAGTTCAAATTACTTTTACCACTAGCTGCTGGGTAATTATTCTAATATCACTAACCTGTAGGAACGTAAGAATCTCAAAGATTAATGAAGTGCTGAAGGCGCAGCCAGGATGCAGGAACACCCACGGCACAACTGGCTCATAGGAACGCAGCAGGGTGCTTGCATTGATTCCCATTGTAAATGGCGTTGTTTTTTTAGTTTCCCTTTCTGACAGTTCATGATTGGTGTATAAAAAT